GTTGTTTTGATCCCTTAGCTTTCAATGTTATGGATTTTGTATATATATATATATTACCGTGTGTAGCGGTTGTTTTGATCCCTTAGCTTTCAATGTTATGGATTTTGTATATATATATATATTACCGTGTGTAGCGGTTGTTTTGATCCCTTAGCTTTCAATGTTATGGATTTTGTGTTTATTTTTCAGTTGCACTAAAAAACAAGAACAAGAAGCATATATACACAATATAATCATATCTCTATATATGGAGAAGATAAATAAACTTTAAACAAAACTGTAAATAAAGAAATGCTGATTGGTCCAAAAAAGAGAAAGAAAAGCAAGGAGGAGCCCTTGAAAAAGGATGGTATTCACAACAAGACAGGAAACAAATGGGACATCATTAAATTTTGAAGGAAAGCACAACACATTGTAACTATATCTGGTATTCTTCCAGCAATTAATCTCTAGCTACTTGTTATATGAAATTTATTAATAACTTTGTTTTTCAAATAACTACAAAACTAACTAAGATATAATTGAATTAATATATAATATATATAAACTGTTTTAGTGGAAACTTGCAATGGCTATAATAGAAAATATTTGTGTTTTTTATTTAGTTATTTATTTCAAAATGGTTTTGGCAAGTGAAGAGAGGATTTTACTTTTTTGACGTTGAGCTGTGTTTTATTAAGAAAGAATCACTTTTAGAATAAAATTAAATAGGTTTTTTGGATGTATATTATTATATACAATATGGTTGAATGATAATTTGACCAAGTATTTATGCGTGAAGATGAATTGGAGTCTGTTTATAAATAACGTGTTTCGTAGGTGGTTGAGCTATCTTCCTCCCTGCGTTCCCACCATTTAATGAAACAGCCTACCTTTACCATCATCTGCCCACCCAACCTTCCCTACCCACTGCTGCTATATACATATGCACACTTTCCCCTCCTTTTTTTTTTATAATACCAATTCCCAAACACTTCCAAGCGTACATCGGTTTTTACACTCCTTCATACATAAATATATATAAATTTTTACATATTATTTTTTAGAATTTCATTTTTTTTCATTTCCGCCATGGATCATAATAGTACCGTGGATATGGATAAGGAACGATTAACGGCGGAGCTTGCCATCAAGGACTCTTCTTCCGTGGTGATTAAGATCCGTCGAAAGCTTCCTGATTTCTTACAGTCTGTTAAGCTGAAATACGTGAAGCTTGGATATGGGTATTCTTGTAATACGGCCACCCTTGTTATGTTTGTCCTTGTTTTTCCCTTGTTCATAGCCACTTTGATTCAGCTTACTGGGCTTAGGCTCCACAACTTCTCCCAGCAAATATTTACTAGCTTCGACACCGCCACCAGTCTAACAGGCTGTGTGGTTTTGCTGTTCCTATCCGGGGTTTACTGGGCAAAGCGTCCCATCCCGATCTACCTCGTCGACTTTGCTTGCTACAAACCCGACCAAGACCGCAAAATCCCGAATGAATCCTTCACCAAGATGTCCGAAGAATCCGGGTTTTTTAACCAAGATACGTTGCATTTCCAGAAAAGGATCTCTACCCGGTCAGGATTAGGGGACGAGACGTATCTGCCCAAAGGGATCACCGCTCGACCCCCACAGCTCAACATGAAAGAAGCTCGGGCCGAGGCGGAGCTTGTTATGTTTGGTTCCCTTGACTCGCTCTTCGCCAAGACCGGCGTTAGACCACAGGAGATTAGCATCCTCATCGTTAACTGCAGCCTGTTCAATCCCACCCCTTCCCTATCCTCCATGATTGTCAACCACTACAAGCTCCGACCAGATATCATGAGCTTCAACCTCGGGGGAATGGGCTGCAGCGCTGGCCTTATCTCCATCGACTTGGCGCAACACCTTCTCAAGGCCAACCCCAACACCTACGCCGTCGTCTTGAGCATGGAAAACGTCACCCTCAACTGGTACTCGGGAAATGACCGCTCCATGCTTCTTTGTAACTGCATTTTCCGTATGGGCGGAGCCGCCATGCTGCTCTCCAACAGGTCAAGGGACCGACGCCGATCCAAGTATGAGCTGGCCCACACGGTGCGGACGCATAAGGGAGCCGACGACAACAGCTACAACTGCGTGTACCAGAGAGAGGACGACAAGGGTATCGTGGGGGTTTCGCTCGCTCGGGAACTGATGGCCGTGGCTGGAGATGCTCTCAAGACAAATATTACAACCTTGGGACCTCTGGTGTTGCCGTTTTCGGAACAGTTGATGTTCTTTTTGACGCTGGTGAAAAGGAAAGTGTTTAAAATGAAGGTGAAGCCTTATATTCCCGATTTCAAGTTGGCGTTCGAGCATTTCTGCATCCATGCGGGTGGGCGAGCGGTGCTTGATGAGGTCCAGAAGAATTTGAATCTGACAGAGAGGCACATGGAGCCATCAAGGATGACGCTACACCGATTCGGGAACACGTCTAGCAGTTCTTTGTGGTATGAGTTGTCGTATGCAGAGGCCAAGGGACGGGTTGCGGAAGGGGATCGTGTGTGGCAGATTGCTTTTGGGTCGGGTTTCAAGTGTAACAGTGCGGTATGGAGAGCACTGAAGCCGATTCCAGCAGGGTGTGAAGCTAACCCTTGGGCCGATTCGATCGACAGTTACCCGGTTAAGGTCCCAGCTGCCTAATTGTAAATTTATCAAAACCTCCGGTGAGGACAACCAAAACCAATTACTTATGGAATACTTCTACTACTATCATCATCTACTTTCCTTTCATCCACACAAGTACGTACGTTTTCATTGTGAAGCACAAGATGTATTTATACTAGATCGGAAGAACCAGTGCCCAAAAAAAAAAGCGGTGGTGGAGTCCTTCCCACCTGATTGTTTGATGTAATATTAATTAATTTTGCAATTCACTAGCTCATTTTTCTGTAAGTTACTGTGTTTAAATATTCGGTTATGATCCAATGGATATCTTTGAATCTTGTTGAACAAATCAGCCTTTGGACTTGTTATAATCAGCCTGTGGACCTGTTATTATCAATTCTACTTCTCGTGACAATTGGTCCCACGGATCCTGTCTGAACCTTGAAATGATTTATCTTGCGGCATGATATTGTAAATAGTAAACTTCTTGATTCTCTTTCTAACATGGTGAAAAAGAGATATATAATCAAATCATCATAGCACATGGACAATACGGTCAATACCAAAAGAATACTAAAGCTTTTATTCTCTTTCTAACATGATTCTCTTTCCTACAACTAACCGAAATTAACAAGTAAAGTACGCAAATAACCCCTATTTCTTAGACCCACGAGAAATAAGTAGTATAAAAAAATAGACAAATTTTCACAATTGGTGCTCATGGTTTCTTAACGTTGTCGACGCTACTTGAAATGTCCTTGTGTTCTCAAAAATCTTGAACATAACCATTTGGGTTTTGGGCTGTGTTGACTTACTGAGACATGTAATATATGATGAATTGATAAGAACATCTACAATGATATTGTAGATAAGTTTAATGAGAAAGTTGAATGCGGTGACAAGTGTATGTGTCAATCAATGGATAAAACTTTTTCATTGTAAGATGTCACTTTGACATTCAATAGATTTGGAGTTCACTGATCGTTGAACTCTTCAATGGAAAATTGAAAGTTTTTAATTCTTAAATATTTACTATAAATTACATTTTGTAGCATTCTATTTAACTTTCTAGAGTTCAATGCATTGTAGAAAAACAAATGATAGAGTTGTATAAATTGTAGAAAGATGGTCATTCAATAAATGAAACTTTTACATTTTGAGATGTCACTTTGACATTCAATATTCTGGAGTTCAATGGTCATTGAACTCTTCAATGGATAAAATGAAAGTTTTTTATTCTTAAATATTTACTATAAATTACATTTAGTAACATTCTATTAAAATTTTGTAGAGTTCAATGCATTGTAGGAAAAAAAATGATAGAGTTGTATGGATTGTAGAAAGATGATGTGTCAATCCATTAAACTCTACTGAGTTCGGTGTATTGTGGATGCCCTAAGACAGGTGAAAATATATGGAAAGTAACTCACTCATCCATCGTTAAATCCTAACACTATTAAACCACTACGAGAAATCCAAGTAATAGTGGTGACGGTTTTACCAGCGACAAAACAAATATGTCGTCGGTAATGCCTATGTTGTCGGTAATACCGTCGTCGGTATTACTTCTCAACCACAATCTGTGTGATGTACCCATGTTGTACCCCATCCGTCAATCTCACCATTTAATCAAACGGTCAAGGGTTATTCATCGTACTAAATAAATATTGGTGACCTCAATAGCGACAAAAATGTCGCCGCCAATACCCTAACAAAATGACTGCAAATTCTTTCATCCATTTACCACTACATGTCGACACTATTTAACTGGTGTCGCCGCTAAAGAGTATAAAACTGATCGATTGCAAATTGTAAAACCGTTCACCGGCCGATCATCACCAACACAAAAAACAGACAACATTGGGGTTGTTATACATGCGATTTTAGGGGTTTTGTTTTGCGATTTTGGGTGTTTTTTTGCAACCGATCGACCATAGAACCGGTGATTTTGTAAATCTCGTCTCTCATTCTCTTTCTTTTCCTCCTCTGACCAAAGAAACCAAGTTAAACTCGATTATTTTGTGTTTTCAGGGCACCACCATCACTAATGATCTTATGGTGATACCACAACCACTCCTGCTACTCTATCGATACCACCACCACAGGTGCTTCTGATGCAAGTGGTGAATGTGTTTATATGTTTAACAGTGTATGAATGAATGTTTATTTTGTGTATTTTTATATGTTTATGGGTGTATTTTATATATGTTTATGTGTTCATTGTATATGTGTCTATTTGTATAATATATGTATATATGTATGTGTGTGTGTGT